AAGAATGATAAAAAATGATAATAAGAATAAGAACAAGAATAGCAATAACAAAGGATTAAGCACAAACTGTCGGCGCATGACGTCCGTGAATTCAATTATTTACGGATTTTACCAAATTCTCGACAACTCTTAACAATGAGATAACAACCAACTCCCCCCTCCCATAGTTGCAATTGCAGTCCTTTCCCCCCATAAGTGCAGTTGCAGTCCCTCCCCCCCATAGTTGCAGTCCCTCCCCCCCATAGTTGCAGTCCCTTCCCCCCCATAAGTGCAGTTGCAGTCCCTCCCCCCATAGTTGCAGTCCCTTCCCCCCCATAAGTGCAGTTGCAGTCCCTCCCCCATAGTTGCAGTCCCTTCCCCCCCATAAGTGCAGTTGCAGTCCCTCCCCCATAGTTGCAGTCCCTTCCCCCCCATAAGTGCAGTTGCAGTCCCTTCCCCCTCATAAGTGCAGTTGCAGTCCCTCCCCCCATAGTTGCAGTCCCTTCCCCCCCATAAGTGCAGTTGCAGTCCCTCCCCCCATAGTTGCAGTCCCTTCCCCCCCATAAGTGCAGTTGCAGTCCCTCCCCCATAGTTGCAGTCCCTTCCCCCCCATAAGTGCAGTTGCAGTCCCTCCCCCATAGTTGCAGTCCCTTCCCCCTCATAAGTGCAGTTGCAGTCCCTCCCCCCATAGTTGCAGTCCCTTCCCCCCCATAAGTGCAGTTGCAGTCCCTCCCCCCCCCCCATAGTTGCAGTTGCAGTCCCTCCCCCCATAGTTGCAGTCCCTTCCCCCCCATAAGTGCAGTTGCAGTCCCTCCCCCATAGTTGCAGTCCCTTCCCCCCCATAAGTGCAGTTGCAGTCCCTTCCCCCTCATAAGTGCAGTTGCAGTCCCTCCCCCCCCATAGTTGCAGTCCCTCCCCCCCATAAGTGCAGTTGCAGTCCCTCCCCCCCCCCATAGTTGCAGTCCCTCCCCCCCATAAGTGCAGTTGCAGTCCCTCCCCCCCCCATAGTTGCAGTCCCTCCCCCCCCATAGTTGCAGTCCCTCCCCCCCCATAGTTGCAGTCCCTCCCTCCCCATAGTTGCAGTCCCCTCCCCCCCCCATAGTTGCAGTCCCTCCCCCCCATAGTTGCAGTCCCTCCCCCCCCATAGTTGCAGTCCCTCCCCCCCCATAGTTGCAGTCCCTCCCCCCCATAAGTGCAGTTGCAGTCCCTCCCCCCCCATAGTTGCAGTCCCTCCCCCCCATAAGTGCAGTTTGCAGTCCCTCCCCCCCCATAGTTGCAGTCCCTCCCCCCCATAAGTGCAGTTGCAGTCCCTCCCCCCCCATAGTTGCAGTCCCTCCCCCCCATAAGTGCAGTTGCAGTCCCTCCCCCCCCCCCCATAGTTGCAGTCCCTCCCCCCCCATAGTTGCAGTCCCTCCCCCCCCCATAGTTGCAGTCCCTCCCCCCCCATAGTTGCAGTCCCTCCCTCCCCATAGTTGCAGTCCCTCCCCCTCCCCCCCCATAGTTGCAGTCCCTCCCCCCCATAAGTGCAGTTGCAGTCCCTCCCTCCCCATAGTTGCAGTCCCTCCCTCCCCCATAGTTGCAGTCCCTCCCCCCCCCATAGTTGCAGTCCCTCCCCCCCCATAGTTGCAGTCCCTCCCCCCCCATAGTTGCAGTCCCTCCCTCCCCATAGTTGCAGTCCCTCCCTCCCCATAGTTGCAGTCCCTCCCCCCATAAGTGCAGTTGCAGTCCCTCCCTCCCCATAGTTGCAGTCCCTCCCTCCCCATAGTTGCAGTCCCTCCCTCCCCATAGTTGCAGTCCCTCCCCCCCATAAGTGCAGTTGCAGTCCCTCCCTCCCCATAGTTGCAGTCCCTCCTTCCCCATAGTTGCAGTCCCTCCCCCCCCATAGTTGCAGTCCCTCCCCCCCCATAGTTGCAGTCCCTCCCCCCATAGTTGCAGTCCCTCCCCCCCCCCATAGTTGCAGTCCCTCCCTCCCCATAGTTGCAGTCCCTCCCTCCCCATAGTTGCAGTCCCTCCCTCCCCATAGTTGCAGTCCCTCCCTCCCCATAGTTGCAGTCCCTCCCTCCCCATAGTTGCAGTCCCTCCCCCCCATAGTTGCAGTCCCTCCCCCCCATAAGTGCAGTTGCAGTCCCTCCCCCCCATAGTTGCAGTCCCTCCCCCCCCATAGTTGCAGTCCCTCCCTCCCCATAGTTGCAGTCCCTCCCCCCCCATAGTTGCAGTCCCTCCCCCCCATAGTTGCAGTCCCTCCCCCCCATAGTTGCAGTCCCTCCCCCCCATAGTTGCAGTCCCTCCCCCCCATAAGTGCAGTTGCAGTCCCTCCCTCCCCATAGTTGCAGTCCCTCCCTCCCCATAGTTGCAGTCCCTCCCCCCCCATAGTTGCAGTCCCTCCCCCCCCCCCATAGTTGCAGTCCCTCCCTCCCCATAGTTGCAGTCCCTCCCCCCCCCCATAGTTGCAGTCCCTCCCTCCCCATAGTTGCAGTCCCTCCCCCCCCCATAGTTGCAGTCCCTCCCCCCCCCATAGTTG